GAGCGTCGTCATCCGCTTCTCTCATCGGACGTGTATTCGAACCTGCGTTCCGGCATCCCACTCAGCGCAATCGTTCGTAATCCACCTCGTGATACTGGCAATTCGACCAGTTGTGCAACCTGCAAAATGTACGTCCCGCCGTTTATCACCTCGCTATTCTTCTGTCTCGTTTTCTCCCTTTTCCATAAATCCGCGTTATAATTTCGGGTTTACAGTAATGCGCGTCCTCGCGCGTATCGCGCGGGCACGAGAAGGAAGATGTAATCGTTTATTATCTCGGCGACGAGAATCCGCGGGATATTTTTGTGCGGGTGTAAAAACGGTGTCGGGGGTGGAAGAAGAGTTACGTGGGTCATTTACCATTTGTATTAAAGTAGATCGGTCGACACGGGGGTGCACGAGCCTTTGTCTCGTTGAAACGGTATACGAAACGCCCTTTATGTGGCTTATATTTTAGACATGTAATTCGACCATTGTGTGCAGTAATTGTGTGGGATTACGATCGTGCATCTAAAGGTATAATTAAACGAAATAGCACGTACGTGATCTCTCATCGTATATTCCAGTGTTAAAATAATTTATAATATAAGAAAGAGAGAGAATTTGTGCGTATATTTTCACAAAATTCTCTCTTCTATCTTGATTTAAATTACAAAATCTGTAAGGTATTTCGGAGTCTATTTTCCTCTTTTTAGACAAAATTATTTATCTTTTATATTTAAATGCTAAAATTTTTTTTTTGAACTATTAAAAATTCTGGAATTCTCTTTGGAAGAGGAGAGAGAAAAAGTTAGAGAATTTTATCAATTACTCGCGCGCGCGCGCGAAATTCTGAAAACTCTGAAATTCGGATAGGAACATACGGCAGAAACAGAGCCAGTATATAGAATTTTCTTCGACCGTAGGTCTTACAATGAAACTGCCGCTGTTCAAAACAGACGGTCAACCCTTGAAGAAAGCCCGCTTTATTGAACGCTGAAAGCAAATTGTGCCGATTGTAGTTTTCAGAACGAAACGCGCGCTTTTATATGGGAGTTTTTATATTTAGACGGAATAACGTGATACTTCTTTACTATATCCTCTACGTTTTCAGATAAGCACGAGGGCTTGTTAAACTCAATTGTTTCTCAATTTTTTTTTTAATTTTCTGAGACAAAGTTTATAAGAAACGAAGGAAATCCAGATGTCAAATGAATGGGATTAGAGAGTTAATCGAATTGTTTTTATGAAGAACTCAATCATTGATTAATTGCAGTTCAACTTATCTTCGTAATACTCCTTTCTCTTTCACTTTTTTATGTAATACTGTATCTTTTATACACTTGTTGAATTTTATGCAAATATTTGTGTTTCATTAACTGTCATATAATTTTTAATTTAATTAGTTTAGTACAATTACTAACACTCTCATGCGCGTATTTTAAATAATTAGAAAATGTATAAATATCTAGAATATATTAATTTTTTTAGTACCGAGGAAAGATAATATAATTATTTTAGAGAAGAATTAATCGATTTTACTTATAATATATCTCCTTCCTCTTCACTTTATCTAAATTATATTTATTGATGAAATAATTATTCTAGCCTGTTTATTTTATTAAGATAAAATAACTATTGCTAATTTATTAATTATTTAATATTTAATTAATTAATAATTAATAAACAATAATGCTAAAAAGCTAATAGAAAATTTGATTAGGTTTTGGCATTTATTTAAGTAGAGTATAGCTGTTGAAAAGATGAAATTCAACTTTGAATGAGGCGAGATTAAAAAGTTATCGCAGTAAGGTCAAAAGCGAAAGATTTAGGAAATTAGATTTGTTAGCGAGAGTAAGTCAGTGCTAACGCTTCGTTGTTGTGAAATAAACCAATAACACGTGTTGCTATAAAGTCGGAATCTGGGACGACGGAATGTCAGTCGGATTCTTGCACAACTTTTCCTTATCGGGTTGGAACAGAGGATATCCTTGATTTTGATTATAAACGCAATAGGGTATCGGTTCAAAACAATATCCTTCTGTAAAGTTAGATATATCTCCAAATTTCGATATAATTGTTAGAATTCTGGATCTTTTCTAAAGAATTCTAGATACGTTTTTTATTTCTTAAAACGATATGTTAAGAAAAATACTAATGATTAAATGTATAAAAGATAAGAGGCCATAGAGCCATAGAAATATGGGATGCCAATCTCACGTTTTCATTATATGTAAATATTTAATAATTTTTTATTTTGGTCATCTTGTTTTATTGATCTGAATCATAATTTAATACATATATAAATGATAAATATATATGACATCTCCGACGAAATCATAATAGTCTGAATTTTAATCTTTGATCGAGATTAAAATGTCGACATTGAGAGAGAGATTAAAAAATCTTTTCAATCTTTTGTTTAACCGTAAATTTGTTAAGGAATGTTAACTTGATAGCCCATTAATTTTTAATGTTTCATCAACTTTTAAAGAAATTAGAAGTCAAAGTTAGTTCGCAATTTTTAGTGTTAATAGATGATGAAAGATAAATTGCATAAGGGGCTTTCAAAGATTTCATAGATATTACATTACATGTGCTAAGGAATTGATGTACTATGATTTTAAATCTAGAAAATTAAGAATTTGTAAATTGCTGGAATAATTTTATTTCGTCACTGCTAATGCAACCAAAATAAATCAATATGATTAAAATTGTAATTCGCGATATACTCGCGGAACTCAAGTTTGTTTAGCGAGAATAGTCAAATATTTTCTTCGATTTTCCATAAGCCTTTTTTTTTTATATATATGTATATAATTTGTATTTCAATTATAATTATTATATATAAAAAAACATGATCTGCAGTTGCAAAATTATGAGAATGATACTTTCGACAATTACAAGCCGTAATTGGAAAGTTATAAAGCAATAATACCGTATATCTAAATGCAAATTTACATGAATTATGTGTGTGTGTGTGTGTGTGTGTGTGTGTGTGTGTGTGTGTGTGTGTGTGTGTGTGTGTGTGTGTGTGGTTTTTTTCTACTTTGCCGGTTTGGCGCTTGCGATAAAAATAGGTGAATATTATATACATATAAAATAGTATGAATCTAAAAAACAATCTCGGGGAACATTTGTATTGGATGATTAATAGTGTCAATCATGCACTATATATATGAAATCATAAGCGATATAAGATTCATATCGAATATAATCTCATGTGTCAGGTAAACGGAATTGTTTTATAAAAAAAAAAAAGTGAAATGATATTCATAATTCATGTATGCAGATGCGCGGTATCGTTGTTTTACAACTTTTCAGATAAGGTTTGTAATTGTCGAGTGTATCGTCGTCATAATTTTACAACAACACGTCAACCGACCTAGAACACGATGCGCTTCATATTTCACTGAGCCGACATATACAGGCTTCCATGCTTGCTCGGAAAAATTCACGTTTAGAGGCTCAAATTAAAAAGCGCGGAATTTCTGCTCTTGTGCATGCGTTATTACTCGACGAATTACTGTTTTTATAAAACAATTCCAAAATTTAAGAAATCGAAACAAAATTTTAATTGTAATAATAAATATGTTATTGATATTTCGCATTGATGTATGAATAAGATTTGTATTTCTTATGTTTGATTTATAAAATAATTAATTTGCCATCTAAATCCATCTGCGCTTAATTTTATCGCGATTAATTTTCGCGGGGCGCGATTTCATATGCGATATTTTTTATGCTTGATTTCCGCCGCTTGTTAGCCTATGTGATCGCAATTTCGCTGGTTTTCATCCATTTATTTTGACCATTGACAGCAAATTGCAAAAATAGGTGGGACGAACAACATCATTTTTGCGTGCGAAACTTTTCGGTAGCTTTGAGTTTTTGACAAACGGCCGTCGGTAATTGGATTCGTTTTATAAAGTCCAACGAAACGCCG